TGGGAGCCTCTGATGTTCCTGCTGGCCCTTTCAGTGTTTATGGAATTCCTGGAATGTCATGGAATTTAAAGTGTTGCAGTGTATTTGAAAAAAGTGAAAGTTAGAGAAGTCAACTGTCCACTCAGGTTTGTCTTATGAACAGGTTGCTTTAAGAGGACTGAAGAAGAACTTGTTTCTTAACTAGTTTACCGACAATACTCTGCACAAGAGATAAGAACATACCTGCACTCTGCTCTCTCGTTCCTAATTCTCCTCTTCTTCTAAATGGACATGATAAAGTTTCGACCATGAAATACAATGATTATCCTTAATGAATAATACAATATAAAGCGCCACGAACAGAATCAGAATCACCTGCACTGGCCAAGTATGTGCACACATACAAGGAATTTGTTTCTGTTTTTTTAATTGCTCTCAATGCTTTTACACACAAATAGACATAACAGCTAGGAACAAGGACATCAAAACTGTATAAATAATGGTGAAGAATAGGCAAAACTATTATATATATATATTGCACTACTAGTATGTGAAAAAAATAACAGCACCTATGACCAACAATAAAAATCAAAGCATACCAAATTCTAACCACCTTTTTAAAATGATCTTTCTGTACAGCTAACTGGATCACACTTGTTCTCCTAAAACAAAAAAACAACAACAATGAAAAAGCAGGAATTATATGAGCTTTAGCCAAGTAGGTGTGTGTTGAGTATGTGATACAGTCTGCTAGGAGCGTAAGGAGCTACTGAAATGAGACGTTTCTAGTTTTTCTTTTTGTCTCTGCATGTTAACTGGATTTAAGGTAAAACGTTGGACATATTTCATTTCCTTTGGGTTTTTGTTTTGTTTTAAAATCAAATCCAACATCATGTTGCAATGATAAAATGGGTAAAGGATTAAGAGGTGAAAAGAAAATATTTTGTCAGTGGATATATAATGGATAAGCTACTCACACACCAAAAGATACCAAAATACTCTGGACCAATGCCATTTATTTACCATTAGACACCCATATGATCACTCCACATGCATAATTACACACATTAGACATTTAGGAAAACATTTGTCTTTAGATTAATTGATATTAAGAATAATCCAGTAGTGACAGCAGCACTCTTATCTAGATTTTTTACAGCATTACTTTGTCACATTTAAGTTATTGAACTCTTCCAAAGATGAGCGCTCACTCCATAAACTCCCAACAGTGTCCAACTCTGTGTTAACTTTGCCCCGTCCATGTGAACAGCAGATGTCAGTAATGCCTCAGAACGGACCAATAGGATCTGACCTCTCTGAGAGATACATGCTGTAAGCATTTATCAGAGATTGTAGGAGATTATGCTAAATCAGATTACTGTACCCCAACCTGCCTATAAAAAGCAAGGTCATTATGAGCTTAGCCTCGTGTAATGTCACTCGTTTTATAAAATGTATGAGATCATATTAGGCAATATTTGTGTTGCCGTTTTGCCTCTTTTTCTAATCTGATTTCTCCCGTGATCTCTCACTAATGCTGTGAGATAGTGCCACTTACGGTCCCGGCTGTGGATGTGTGTGTTTGTGTGTCTCTGTCTGCTTGTCTGCCTGTATGTGAGCACAACCCATCAGGTCAGGGAATGTAACAAATAATGCAGAGGTGTGAAAACTGTTTATAAAAGTTGACTTTCTTGGAGGCCATGCCCATGTAAAGTATTCCATTTACATACAGTTAAAACATACAGAAAGCTGGTATGATTGTCGTCATCATATGGTAGGTTATATTGTCTGCTTTTTATTTATTACAGCTAGATCAGATTTTAACGTTTTCACAAGAAAGCACATCGAGGTTGGAGGATTGTTCTCTTTGCGCTCTCCTTACCCAAAGGCTGAATGCAGACAATAAGCTTTTTCCCCTGGGTGGTCCGAAGCTCTGCTAAAGAAGCTTCACAACACATGTATGCAGACAGGCAGGGGTGTATCCAGGGGCAACTAAATCTCACCAGCATTAACCTGGGAAGATGAGTCCCAGTGGAAACCCACACCCATAACACAAGCATACGTACACAGGGGCAAGTGTTTTCAACTCATCCTGTGTCTATCTACTGCTATTTTTTTTTAAGTTGTAATCAAAGAGCACTTCTTTTTAAAAAGAAATCCAAATTAGTGTCTCCAATCCATGATCATAATAAACTAATCCACCACTAATATCAACAGTTTTCTTAATGTATGCCTTAAAATGTGAGTGAATAAGTGTTGGTGGGCTTGTACACGCCCCTCCATACAGTATGGGGAAGGTACCTCTTGTGTGGACCATCCAGCAGCAGCGGATGGTTCATACAGGACAGTACGCTAGTTTCCTCCTGCAGGTTGCAGGTTGACAGAACTGACAGGGACTCAAACACATAACTGGGTAGATATATGAATGACTTGAGTTTTAACTGACATACGCTTTTTCAGAGTGCATATATTAATTATTTTAACTACAAAATGTGACTGTAAAGAGACAGCAGCGAGACAGATCTGACACAAACAGCACATCCCCACATGCAGGGCTACAGTAGAAAGAACAGCGCTCTTCTCTCTCAGGAGCGTTCTTCATCCAAACCATGGCTGATGATGCTTTCGTCTTCCCCCATCGGACCAAGCCCATACACACTTTGTTGTCCCGGTGGACGCCAAAGTGTTCCACGTCTCCAAGTAACGCCTTAACCCACTGAGCATTAACCCCTCCTCTGAGCAATCTACCTAGACTACTGGTGATAATGATCAAGTCATCTCTGTGCTGCAGCGAGGGCCCACCCACAAACACTCCGCACAGGACATAAATCCCACCTGATTTTGTTGAGCTTGATCTGAGAGCACCGAGACATCAGTTCATACACCATAAAGTATGGCAGAGTTAATATGACTTGTCAATAACATCCATTGCCAGCTTATATTGACCAAATTCCTGGGGATAGTGACAGATGACTTTTGAGGTATTCCTATTAGATCAGTGTAAATGATATGACAGAGATGAATTTTTTTTTTAAAGAGATTTTTTTAAGATATGATAAATCAGATTATTTTTTGGCAATTCTTGGTTCTGTTTCAGACTCTAAATGTGTGTATTATATTGAATGTACAAGTAGCAGTGTCATTGTTAGGACTGGGCATCCGAGGCTTCATCCCTGAATGTTTTATTTATAACTCCCGATCTAAATATAAAGACTATAAGTATACTTATATTTCAAAAATAAGAATAGGCCTAATAATTAAAACAAAAAGCTTCCAGTCCAATAATCTGTCTTTCCATCATGCATTAAAGCCCCCGCAAATAATATATTGTTTATCAAAAACACAAGTTTTGTGTCCTCTGTGTCATTTAATCAGCACATTTTGTGATCATGTGCATGCACATACATATATGTATATAAATATAAAAATGACTGGGTGGTTTAATCTATAATAACATCATAATTTATAAACTGATTACATTTTGTATTTTTAGTCTGAGTCTTCAAATTAACTAAAGCAGACAAATGTAGTGGAGTAAATAGTACAATATTTCCCCCTGAGATGTAGTGGAGTCTAAGTATAAAGTGGCATTAAATGGAAATACTCAAATACAAGTACCTCAAAATGATCTTATTCAGTTTAAATGATAGCAGTTGCAAAGCAGGAGCGTCATAGTGGGGGAAAGTGGGACTGACTACCCAGGGCCCCAATGGAAGGGGGGCCCTCAGACAGCCTTGAATGAAGAGTTTGGTTATGTTTGCAGTTTTCTTTTCTAAGTAATCAGTGCATAGCTAAATTAAAATTAAAAAGACTAAACTTTTTATTTAAAAAATAGTGAGAGCTCTCTGAGGGCCCTTCAACCTTCAAAGGCACAAAATAGTTTAGTCTGCCTCTGCCCAAAGATTCGTCTCTCAATGCAGCTCGAGCCAGTGAGTGACTACTAATGCTACTGAGGCACCAACGTACACAGTCATGTCTTTCGCCAAGATAGGAAAATCTCCTCTCCAGAAAAGAAGAAGAAAGGGAAAGGGAAAGAAAGCAAACTGACTGTGAAAAAACGATTAAAAGTTGTGTGAGAGAAACATGGATCAAGAGAGGAAGGGTGAGGGGGCCCACAGATAGTGCTTATGCACATGGCCCAGAATTTGGTGCAATGCCCCTGTTGCAAAGTATGGTGTTTCTACTCAATACTAATTACTAACAACTACTAATATTTTCAAAATCACAATTCCTATTTAATCTGGGGTAGGATCCCCCCGGACCCCCTTACAGAGGACTGGGCTAACCCCCTACGTCCTCAAATACTAGGAACACCCTTGACTAGTAGTAAAGTTGTGTTTTGTTGTGTTTTGGAGCCAGGCACGCTGTCAGGGAAGAAAATTCACTCATGTAATCAAATTTGTGGCACAGTCTGTTTTGGTTTGCAAATGAGACAGTGTTATTGGCCTGAAGTAGCGGTTGTTGTACTGACACGAAAGTCAGAGGTAGTGGTTGTTGCATTGACATGACAGTTGCATTTTTGTTGGAGTCCTCAAACACATTTGTATCACAGTCTCACAGAAAGGCACTTTTGACCATATATCCACTTTTATAAGATTTAAGGATCTTATATGTGCACATTAATTTGGGATTTTAGAGTATACTGTGTAAGAAGAGACCAGAAAACACACTACAATGGTCATTCCTAAATATTTAAATTAATAACTCCTGGTAAATTACAGTTAAAGCACCCCCAATAACCTGTGGAGTTGTATAGGCCACAGTTTCACAACCACTGATAAACAGGGGCTGGTGTGTATAAAGGTTGTTTTTCTAACCATATTTGGCATTAGAAATGTTCTTACTAGGGTAATAAATGATTTAAAGTGTTTAAATGAGCAAAGCTGTAGAATTAAAAGCAGTGTTTAGGCAGGTAAATGTTATCTAGGTGTGTTAGTGTTACCAAAAATGGCAGTATTTCCTGATCTGTTGGTCGCCGACCCTTCGCCGTGCGTTGTGACGCTGCCGTAACGTGGGGTTTCCCAAACCTGAGTGCAGGGTTACCGCGCCCATCTCTGCTGTTTGATGGCCGGAGGAAGAAGCGACTGAGATCCTGGCGTGAAGGAAGAAAAAAGAGGGACGACGACGGTGGGAAAGACAAGAAGGGATTTTTGCTTTGAGTTGGAATTTGCGCTGAAAGGGAAGAACGCTCAAACGGGACTCTGACACGTCTATCTGGGTGAACACCGCCTTGTCTCTGCGCCTCTGTGCCGGTGTGTCTCCCCCCTCGGCGGGTCAAAAACTGGGTTCGGGGAGTGCCGCTCCTCGGTAGCTAAACTAGCTAAATCTTAGCGCCTGGGCGGAGAGAGGAGAGACAAGATTTTGCTGTTTCCAGTCAATGTGATATAAACAACGGATACCCTCGACTGAAAGCGGGTAAGGATATGTATTGATATTTGAAATTGCGCTTCAGGAAATGCATTAAGTGTCTATGCATTAGGCTAGCCTGTCGAGCAGGGGAGATGAACGAAAGGGGTTAAACTGGGCTGAGTGGAGTTAGCTGCCGTTAGCCTGCTGCTAGCAAGTCGTTGCTGCCAAGAGAGTGGGTGGGGGTCACTGTTAGAGAAACAGCCTTAACCCAGGTGTCAATTCACCACAACAACATTTAGCTGCTTTCATATCTTATGGTTTTATCCGGCAAGTTGATGGTTAAAGTTAAAGCCCGGTGCTAATGTTAATTAGAAGGTTAGTTGGTGACAGCTCGGGAGGTTAGCCAGCACCCCTCTCCAACGTCCGGGTATCTTTCTCCCTCTCTTAAGAAATTAGCTGTCTGGGTTAAAACTATCAGCTTTGCTCCAATAGCCAATTTAGCTGATAGTTATTTCAATCTGGGCTTGACTTGAGACACAATGTTGAGCTCAATGATCCCCAACATATTGGCTCAGTATGTCGGCCCACATTTAACATATTTAACGGTTCTCTATAGATAGCTAGTGGTTACCTGGTAAGCTAATTGCTCGCACATTTGCTACTCTTCAGTTTATTGTTGACTAACAGCAGGCGAGCTGGTTAAGGTGATTACATGGTTGCAACTTCTTACACTTGCATAACTCAAACAAACGTGAACAGAGTTTGGATTTACTTCCTCCCGTGTTGAAAATTTGTAGCATCATGCAAATGACAACGAAGGGAGTCTAAAAATGGCTACTTCACCAACAGAATCACCACCACCCCCACTATTCCGTAGCCAGTCCATACAAGTTAGCCAGCAGTGGCCACAGCCTACGTTTGCAGCCTGGTATGACTGATCTGGGTGTGTATATACCGAACATGGCAGACGGAATAATTTGCCTGTATCCTTAGTGAATGTATGTGTTGTTGTTGAGTGCCGTTTTTATGTAAAACTGGACCACTGAAGCGTTAGTATTTGCCTTGCTAAAATTATTTATGTAACGTGAATGCCGAATTTCCCTGTAGTGGACACTTATTTGACTAGCGGTGTTTGAACGGGCTGGTTGAGTCAGCAGCGTTTAAATCAGTGAATCGAAACGAAACCATCATGGATTATGGCTACTGTATGTCACAGCTATATGTTAACATTCCCACGTTTAGTCTGCAGAGTCAGCCATCCACTGATAGTGCTGAGGAGGTAATGGATATTTCTTAGCGCGATTCATCCCTAGAATGCCACATGAATAAAAATGATAGGAATTAGCCACATACTGCCAAGTGTTAGCACAGATTTAAGATCGCATTGCAAACATGATAATAAGCTCCGCTGTGGACCTGATAGGGGCAATAGCCATTTTAGTTTCATGATTGTTAAACCAGCGTCGGGTGGCGAACACACAGTTCGGCCTTAATTTGAACTTCTTCTTTTAATGATGTGAAAATGAGATTGTCTAATTGGATTTTGACAATCTGTTTATCTCGATCACGGGTCTGTTGCAGGGCAAGTTGGTAGCAGCTACAGTAATCATGCCCCACCGCCGCGCTACTCCACAGTATGTCAAAGCTCTAGCCCGGAAAACGGGCACGTTTTAGCCACGACGAAGCGCCAGACCCGAGTTAGCACACCGGCTTAAGGTGTTTAAGCAGAGGAGAGGAGTTTTGAGATTTTTATTTAGTGGTAAATGTTTCGAAAGATGGTTTAGCAACGAGTCAGACGTGTTGTCGCAGGAAGCCGAGCTGAGCGCCTCCTCCAGCACCGAAGCAAGATACATGTAGCCTGCCGCTTTGACGAAGTTATTGACCAGCAGTGTTAAGATATGGCATCTAAAGAATCCATTCCTGAAAATAGCCGATTTCTAGTCGATTACTGGAAATATTCGGTGTTTCTTAAAAGACCTATTTGTATTTACTGGTTCACAAAGATGAATTCATTTTGCCAGTGTGCCCCCTCCCTCCGCCTCCTCGAATGAATGGGTTCCTGTATTCAGGGCCCAAGCAGCTGCAATGAACAAGATGGCGTTCAAAGCCTTTTTCATCACCGCTTTTTCTCAGACTGAGAGAGACAGATGCCGAGCATCGGATGGGTTCAGGCTTGGCACACTAGATTTCTTTGGTTTAACCATCGTAAAAATGTACAGGATGTGTTTGTATTGAAAACATTTTAAAAGCTGATGGGATTCCTGGTTAGATGAATCCATAATGTGCACCTCACATACAGGACAACATGGTGGGGAAGGGGTGTTGTACATCTTGACTGTGAACCTGAATACCAGGGAACATGGCAACTATAAGAAATGTTTTTTTAATCATTTATAAGAAATAAAAACTTTATTTAGATATTTTGATATTAAACATACTTTCTTATTTAAAACCTCTTGAACCACACGTTAGGGAAATGTGACATATTCTTCTCAGTCCAGACTAGAACTAACAGTTGAATGTCACTGAATAGATAAAAATAAATTTCTAAATGTAAATGAAAAATCCAGTCATAAAGATTTCTTTTAGATTTGAGGGTAGTGATTCTTTTCCTCCCTTTTTTTATTTTGTCGATACACTTGACACTTGAAATCCTAAATGTGACATCATATGCAGGTTTATATTCAACTTGCTTTTACTTGCCCGAGAGATCAGCTTTATTTCTCTTTGCTTTTTATTTTCATACAAGTGTTTCCTTATATTATTTTTCAGCTATGTAGCTTATCAGCTTGGAAGGGTTGAAATTTTGCAAATTTGCAATGCCACTGAATGACCTAATTACATTTGGATTTTAGTCATCAAACACTGACCCAAAACTCTCAATAGTGATCTTTCTCTCTCTCTCTCCCTCGCTATACATATATA